CAGAAGTGGTGCTGTGGCTCAAGTGGTAGAGCGCTAGCCTTGAGCTGAAGAGCTGAGGGACAGCGCCCAGGCCCAGAGTTCAGGCCCCACAACTGGACCCCCCAAAAAAAAATTTCCAAAGAGAAGCATTTCTAAGAGTTATTTTGAGAGCACTTTCATCTTTCTGCAAGCCTCAGAGTTTTCCTTCTCCTCTTATCACAGAGTAAGAATGCAAGAACCAATGTGGAATCAATTCTAAAACAATGTTCAACAGAGCAGCATGTGGAACCAACACTGCAAAGTGACACAGAGAACGTGGGTCTCAGACAACTGATGTGCAACTATGGGCTTGAAACTAAACCTGTTCACGGCAAATAGGCAGTAGAGTACAGTAAGAACTGTTCTCTCTTGCTGGGCGCTGGTGGCTCACGCCCATAATCCTACCTACTCAGAAGGCTGAGATCTAAGGATTTCAGTTCAAAGCCAGCCCAAGCAAGAAAACCCATGAGACTCTTATTTCTAATAAGCTACTCAAAAACAGCTGGAAGTGGCACTGTGCCTAAGTGGAAGAGCGCAGCTCACATACAGCACTCAGGCCCAGAGTAAAGCCCCAGGACAAGCAGAAGACAAACAACAACTACAACAACAAACAACAACAACATGTTCTCCAGTCATATATCCCCTGGGAAGCTCTATTCATACCCATACTCAATTCTGCATCCTACCTCATCTGAGCAGTGCAACTGCAGCTGAGGGTCGAGGCGGTAATCCAGAGCAGACTCCTGGATAATGATGCGAATCTGGTCCTCACAGTCAGAAGACAGGCGCTGTGTGTGGCAAAGGCAGAACAAATGGCTCACCAGAAAACATCAGATTGTATTTGTCCCCCTAGTCTCAGGCTTGGGGAGGGCATGATAAAGGTCTTAGAAAACAGGAGTAAGAAATAAAGGTAACTCTAGGAAAACACCTCTGCGGAGAACCAGCCAGTTTACCTGATCAGCATATCTCAACTTGAGGCATGAGATGACTTGGCCTTCTAGCTCTGAATCATCCTTGGCCTTGGACAGGATACCGTGACAGAATTTAGGAATGTCAGCTTTACAGGCTTTCCTTAGCACAGGGTTTAAGCGGTAATCTAAAACAAAAACAGTCAACACATGATGAGATATCCCACCTGGAAATAGCCAAAAGGTGTATGTTAGGTCAGTGAGGGGGACTATGAACAGTGCCTTTGCTTTATGAACCCAGGTGGGTGGCTATGGAGCTTCCTGTGCTGGCTCCTTTTGTTCTTGAGACAGGATCTTACTCAGTAGCCTAAAATGACCTTGAAATTTTGATTCTCCTGCCTCAGCCTCCCTAATGCTGGAATTACAGACAAGTTCCGCCACACCTGGCTCTCCACTGTTGTTAATCAGTAATGTGTGCTGGTGTGTGAGCCCCTCTGCAGGTCTAGGAATCCCATTACTCTCCAGTAGTTCTATATAGCTAAATATTCAAAATCCAAGTAGATACCAGCAATCTTGCCCATAAACATTTCTGAAAATACCAACAAAGAAATATCCAACTCACTTTTTACCTATTAAGCTAAAACTTCTACCAACTGAGAGCTAGTTTCCTTCTTCTAAAAAATATTGCCTCTATTCTGCCATACTCACAAAGTTCTATTAAATCTCCAGACTTTTCTTTCCAAGAAGCTCTAGCCCTGATTCTTTTTGTTTTTCAACAGTTGTCCAGTTCTTCAGGCTCTTCTTTTCCCTGACTTTCATGTCATTTTTCCTGCATACTTTTCAAAGGAAGAGGAAAAAACTCTGCTCATATCCAAACTCTTCTCTTAAAAATCAGGCACTGAGTTGGGCGCTAGTGGCTCACAGCTATAATCCTAGCTACTTAGGAGGCTGAGATCTGAGGATCGGTTCAAAGCCAGCCAGGGCAGGAAAGTCCGTGAGACTCTTATCTCCAATAAATCACTCGACAACTGGAAGTGGTGCTGTGGCTCAAGTGGTAGAGTGCTCGCCTTAAGCTGAAGAGTACAGGGACAGCGCCCAGGCCCAGAGTTGAAGCCCCACAACCAAAAAAAAAAACAAATCAGGCACTGGTAGCTGGGCGCCAGAGGCTCATGCCTATATTCCTAGCTACTCAGGAGGCTGAGATCTGAGGACTGCAGTTCAAAGCCAGCCCAGATAAGAAAGTCTGTGAGACTCTTATCTCTAATGAACCACCAAAAAACTGGATGTGATACTGTGGCTCAAAGTGGTAGAGCCTTGAGTGAAAAAGCTTAAGGACAGTACCCAGGCCCTGAGTTCAAGCCCAATGGACCAAAAACAAACAAAAAACAGGCACTGATACCACATACATATAATCCTAGCTATTCAGAAGGCTGAGATCTTAAGATTATGGTTTGAAGCCAGCCCAGGTAGGAAAGTCATGAGACATTTATCTCTAGTTAACCCACAAAAATTTGGAAGAGTAGCAAATGGTAGAACACTAGCCTTGAGCAAAAAAGTTTGGGGATAGCACCCAGGCCCTGGGTTCAAGCCCCAGGATTGGTACATCCCCCCACTTCCGAAAAAAAAAAAATCAATGGTAGGCAAGGCACCAGTACTTTTAATTAGGTCACTAATTATATGTGCACTTAATTCCACTTTAGGCTATATTCAGTGGGACCAGGAGAGTGGAGAGCTGCTCAGTACAGTACCTGTGTTCTGTGTGATCTGGCGTTTGGTTATCATCTGTTTGCACTTAGGATCCATCAGTTCACTGTTTTTGTTTTGCTTCAAGCACTGCAACATGGTTTTAGAATCTGCTTCTGGACAGAACCTCTGCAAAAAAAAACCCCAAACCAACATTTCATGGAAACAGCCCCACAAATTGGCAGCCCATCTGTGACCACTCTTGTATCAGTGATCTCATGAAAGACGTAACATGAAGGAATCACTTGGAATAGCTAAGCCTGAGGTGTCCAGCCCCCAGTTCCCTTGCTTTATTTATTCTATACTGTAATTCTCACATTTCTTTACACTACCTCTTTGGTTCCAATTTTTCATGAAACTGATTGCTGTTGGTAAGGTGATACTAAATTACATGCCATTTCATGAGCATAATTTTTTTTTTGGGGGGGGGGATCTGGTCGTGGGGCCTGAATTCTGGCCCTGGGCACTGTCCCTCAGCTCTT